TTCTTTTAGGGACGTCCAGGTTGTTTAATTTACCTTGACTCCTGCAATGTTCATTTTGTCTCTTTTTGGCTTTAATTATATGGAATCAACATGGTAAAAAATAAAGTGGGACTAGTAAGATCTAAGACATGTTTTCGACTATGCTGATATTTACCACACCCTCCATGTCACGAATCAAAAGTCCTACTTCTTTGAACTATTTCACTCTGTCAGGCTTTGGATAATCTGGGCAAACGATACTCTCGGAATTTAATTCTAAATCCACAAATAATAGGAAAATGCTCTGGGAACACACTCTTGGAGTCGCCGTGAATCCCCTACGCTGATTAGACATGAAACGAAAATCAAAATCATCACCAGCTCAGGTGGAATCAGAATCCCCAAACAACCAGCGGATGCCCTCTGTACTTTAACTGCTGTTTGAATCAGACAGCAGCTCCTGACTGATGGAAACAGAAATAAACAGCATTTCACACTTATTTTCTTAATATTTCATTTATTATTGTTACTACACGTGTCTAAGTCTATTGCCTGCACGTAGACAGGTGCGTCCGTGCCGTTCAGTTCCCATGGAGGTCAGAGGAGGGCATTGCATTCCCCTGGAGCTGGAGTTATGGACAGTTGTTAGTCGCCGTGGGCGCTGGGAATCGAACCCGGGTCCTCTGCAAGAGCAGCCAGTGCTCTTAACTGCCGAGCCATCTCTCCAGCCCCAGCATTTCACACTTAGGAAGAGAAAAAGCTCAACAGTATCAGGAGGGTTGAATCCTGCTGGGGCTTCGAGACTCAGAAACATGTCCCTGTTGATGATGCAGGTTGGCTGGCAGACTTTGGTGTATAGACAGGATCCAGACCCGTCCTTTGTTTTCACACAGCCGCACACACAGAATCTGTTCACAATGCTTTTGTTTCGTTCCTTTAAATGACTCTAATTTCTTTTCCCCAAATGTTCTTGGATGTGGCTCCATCCCTTGGATTCTGGTCATGGCGTCCCCTGTCACATCAGTAAGGTCAGCTGCCTTTTCCACTGACAGCCCTGATGCCATCAGAGCCTCGGCATCAAGGACTTTCTGTCCACCCGCCCCGTCCATGCTGGGCCCTGTCTGGCTTGGGTTTGCACAATATTGGGTATCGGGTCATCAGTGCTGTACTTCATATATACAACAGGAATATTTTGTCTGGGTGACGGGAGGTAAACTGAGATTCTACAGTTATGACTAAAATCTCAATATTCAAAAGCGAGTCAAGGATTCTGACAATTTTTGGCCTTCGAGATTTCAATATATGAGAAGTGTAGATGGACACCGACTCAAACAGACAAAATCCCAGCACGGAACTCGGGAAATGTGCAACAGGCCCCAACTCTGGCCGAGGAACTATTGGCAACCGGTTATTGCTGGATGAGGGAGAGCTGATCTTCTTTAAGGAACTGACTGTAGGTAGAGTGACTAGACCCCAGTGGGTGAACTCACAGTCACACTGACGGACGTCTGGGTACAAAGGCTTGACCGGATAGCACTTAGAATATACAACAGGACGCGTTGAAGTCAGTGGGGTGGGATATGAGGGGGTTCCACATACGAGAGGAGGACCTAAATAGGATTAAGATCTATTATATTCAATGCACAAAAGTCAATAAAATGTACATAGAGGTAAAAGTATAAATTCACAAACTTGAACACATTATGGAGCACTTTAAGATTCTTCCAATTTTAGTTTCTATTGATGATGAAAGTTACGAGTTCATTATTTTTTTTCTCAATGGACCTGCTGTTCTACAAATGACCTCAGCTACCTCCTTTAAAATTCTGAAGGAATACACATTCGAAAATAAACAACACCCAATACTACATCATAAAACCTAAGAAAGTTCTGATAATGTTTTAGTTTAAATAACGTGATAGATAAATTTATCTTTTAAAGGCACATCACACGGTTCTTGGAGGTATTACTATGAGGCACAGGTAGTTGTTAAAGATAGTCTTCAGTGTTTTCATGGATTACACACTAAGCAAAATGAAAACTAAATGAACAGGAGATATAGTTTGTTGGGATTAGAGAGACAGCTCAGCAGCTAAGAGCCCTTGCCGTTGCTGCAGAGGATCCTGGTTCAGTTACCAGCAGCCACATGGCCTTGGAGGTCAGTCCATGACTCCGATTCCAGTCTCAACGCCCTCTTCTGACCTCCGAGCCCTACATGACACTTGTGCATGTACACACGTAGCAGAAAACACTTATTCGCATGCAATAAAGAATAAAATAAATGTTTAACAGAAAGTTTTATGCTCCAATGTTTTAAGAATGAATTCTGTTTATCAAGGAAGGCATGACTGTTGGTGCACATCTGGATTCATGTATGGACGCTGAGCTTACCCACATAGCCAGGCTCTGTGTAAGATAATACTTCATTCCGAGCAAGCGGGGAGGCTCAGGGTGTGATCTTCTCGCCCTGTGTGCGTGAGGACCCGAGTTCAATCCTCGGCATTCACCCGAAGAGCCAGGCCTTGTGTCGAGCATCTGCTAACCCTAACACTGGAGATGTGCAGACGGACGATCTTACGGGGCAGCCGATGGGACTAATTGATAAGGTGTAGGAGAGAGGAGCTGTATCTTCTCTAAACCAGGGTGAGTGGCTTCTGGGGAATGAGGAAGAACTGATATCTTTCCTTCTGCATAGACATGAGCACACTCTACAAGGTCGCTCATTTGAATAAAAAATAACTTTATCATGGCCCCAACAGCAAATTTACTTAACAATTTCTGAATGCAATTACATATTATCAGAACACACACACACACACACACACACACACACACACACACACAGGCACTTACTATTCAAGGCCAAGGGCAAGGAAGAGCCATGAGG